TAGGCGGCTCGGCTCGGCTCAGCTCAAACGGCTTGGCTCAGCTCAAACGGCTCGGCTCAGCTCAAACGGCTCGGCTCAAACGGCTCGGCTCAAACGGCTCCTCATGCTTCCAGACGAAGCCCATTCTCAGGTGGTGGCGCGTGCGGCGCGTGAACAGTAACCCAATGTCGGAAAATTCTCGGAAAAATTCCTAAAAATTATTTTGAGCGATATCGAGATACTTACAAAGCTCGGTTCACAATTTTGAACGGCGGAGAGCTCGATTTCAACAAATCGGGAAGTTTGATCGATTCACCTCCCAACGCGCCGCCGCCGCCGGAGAAAAAGGAGAACACCGGTGGACTCGGAACGACACAAGGAACACGATGGTGCGGGAGGTGTCGTAAACGGATGACCCGATCGTCGTGAATCGATGAAAAACCAACTAAAACCGAGTTATTACCGACGATACTTTCGACTGAAATTCACGACGAACGGCGATGATTCACGACGAAAGGTTTGAGGGGTTTTGTTCCTCGGTTGACAACGAACACGATGGTTGTTTCGGCTCGTCGTTTGGAGGTCGGACGGCGAGTAGATCGGAGTTGGAAGTTGGGTTGATGGAGAAGGGAAATCTGGAAAATTTCTGCTGCCTGCGCACGAGAATCAGATTTATAATTCAACATATTAAAAAAATGGTTAAATCATAGGTTTAGCCACTGAACTTTCTGCACTTCTGAAAACGGTTTGCCAACTTTAGAACTTTACAATTTAATCCCCTGTTTCTTTCAAAATACCAAATTAAATCCACCAATTTATATTTTCTTAAATTTAGCCCCTAAATTGGGGTGTTACAATTCTCCCCTCCTTAAAAAAAATTTCGTCCTCGAAATTCCTTCATTTCACATAATTGCATAAATGAAACTTCCATCAGTTCTTTCAAATCTATCAATAGCTTTTATAAAAGTACGATTCCTCCACTTATCCTTAACCAGCTGAGCATACATTCTTATCATAAATTTTTCCTTATTTCAATAAAAGAATTTAAAATTTTCTCGAGTAATCAATCTCTTCAGAATTCTCCCTCAGTCCAAGTAAATAATCAGAACAACTTTATTCTTGTGAAATCAATTCAGCATTGGATACGTGAATAGGCTCGTAGAGCAGCAACATATCTCAATTTCATTTCCGGAGTCGAGTCAGAAATTCTCAGATGAATAACTCTCACATGGCTCATGAGATACTTTACAGCGTTTAGACATATGTTACTGGTATTCCTTTTTGTACAAGTATAGCCTTAGCAGATAGAAACTTTGGTTTACTCAATACAGATAGGGACTCAGCCCTGGAGTTCCGGCTCAGAGAGGTACGATTGCAGTCTAGGGGCATGTACTGATCAGACATATTTTGACATTTGACCGGCCGGTCTATCTTGAAAAATTTTGACTCAAACCATAGCTCTGATACCACTAAATGTAACCCCCCAAACCGATGAGGGTAGCCCGATCCGATTCGGGAAGTCACATTAGGGTCACCGGAGCGACCCACCGTAAAAATAGCGGAAATTTTAAAACTTTTTATCAGAACATGTAAACTTATAAAATCATTTATCACTATTTAAAAATAAAACAGATTTCCAAACTCGTATATAAATCAAAATACAATTACATGCCCCCTAATCACAAATACCATTAGCTAATGGAAGAGGTCCCTTTTTTTGGGATGAATTGGTTATCGTCAATTAACTGCTTTATTCCATTAGCTAATGGAAGAGGTCCATAGCATGGTTATTTTCATAGGGTTATACTTATAGCATTCCATTCTCTGACTGTTATTCCGGGTAGGAGACTGGAAAGGAAAAAAAAGTAATCAGGGCATTACGAGAATCAAACTCTAGACCTCTTGCACCCAAAGCAAGAATCATACCACTAGACCAAATGCCCAATTTTGTTATCCATTGTGTCTGATTTATACTTATTAGATCTTCTCCCCTAGAACTCCTTTTAACTTTCAGTGTACACCAAAATTTATCAATCTCTCACTTTTTATGTGGTTCAATTAATTATTGACCTTCTACAATTTGATGCTTAGGGATTTTGGAATAGCATTAGCACCAATTTTCAACTTTCATCTATATTTTAATTCATCTTTATTGTTTTTAATTGGGAATATGAATTCCTTGGAAGCCGAAACATCAATAGGTTATGAATCTCCCAAATTCTATATGTTTCTTTTAACCATGAAGAGTCGTAACGCTAAACCAATAGTTTGCTAGTTGTTGTGCTTAGAAATTAGAACATTTTGATTTATACTTCAAAATAATTTTAAAAATGAAATCATAGAACAACTACGCAGCTAATAGAAACCTAATAACCAGTGTCCTAATACAATTTTCAAGCCGGTTATGAAAGTTTTTAGATGTTAATTAAAAGCTGCCTCAGTAGATAGAGAAGATGGAAATTCACTTCGAAAGTAGGGAAAATACTTTGCCTTTTTAGTTCCATGCTTTTTTGCTGGAATATAAGTAGGGTACATATCTTCAGTAAAATATTTTATTCTGGCTTATCAAATGTATATTTATTCTTTTTGTTTTGTTGCCCACCTCTAGCACCCTAAGCAAGAATCATACCACTAGACCAAATGCCCAACTTTAATGTAGATAATGTTTCAGTATTTTGTTCAGTTCTTAGGGTCCTGTTATCTCTCAATAGGTAATTCCACATGAGCTGCCTATTGTTTTTTCTCTTGCTTTTGATGTATTCCTAATATAATTTGCTTGGCATAGTGATTCTAGTCTCTTGCTTTTATTGTAATTCTGTTGTAGTTTCCCTGTTAGAGTTTGATGCCACCATTCCTTACTAAAACTTGGACCTTGGATTTTGCTTGGATATTTTTGTAGTATAGAAATGATTTTAGTTTTTACTTCTTAATTCCACATTTGGGTCAACTAAATACAAGATTTATGGACAATGAATATATAAGATGAGCTTACCGGACAATCAAGCCATTATGCTGAAAGTTTATCACAAAATGATGTTTTGTTTGTTGGCCCTGCAGGCAAATGCAAGAGAAACTTCCCTTGTATTTTAACCAACGCCTCAAATGTGCTTTCATTCCATGTGTATGAGATGTCTTTTCTTTTAGAGGATATGGAAAAGATAAAAGAAATTGGGGCATTCCTGGAATAGAATATGGAACCTCTCACAAGTCACACCCAAATCTAGAACCATACCATTAGACGAAATGCTCAATCTTTGATGTTTTACTGAATTTGTTTTTAGTTATTATCTCCTTTCTTCAAGATTGTGCTAGGTTTTTAACTGTACCTGCCGACTTGTTAGAAACTTGTTCTGCGGTTTGACTACCACCTTGTTATTTAAACGAGTAGTTCAAGGATGAGCTTATTGGGCAATTAGGTAGCTTTCAACTGATTATTAATGTTGTGCCCTCATAATCTTTTGGTTGTTGGACTTTCAAACTGAACTCCAAAATCTGTTGATGTAATAGGTGGAGGCTCTATCTACTTTGGCCTTTAAAGCCATTTGATAATTTTACTAAGATTCCAGGAATGAATCCCACCTTGATCTGTTTTGCTCCTTTGCAGAATTTTGCCACCCTGTTCGGTATAGCAATTGCACAAATAGATTAAAAAAATGAGACCATGTGTTGATTAAAAATTGTACATTTGAATTTTTTATTCACTAGGATTTCTTGCCTTGAACATTTTGTTCATTAAGGGAATTCTCATATGTTGTCCTTTTCTGCAGGGTAAGGCAGATTCTTTTATCTGAAGATTTTAATTCCTTTTGCAACTCTTATTTGGGAAAATATTGTGAGAAACTACCTGTATTGAACTTTGGAAGATGACTTTGGCCACATTCCTCTAGCTAAATATTTACATGGAAATACAAGTTCCTAAAAAACAGAGGCTGGGGCATTCCGAGAATCAAACTTGGAACCTCTCTCACCCAAAGCAAGAATCATACCACTAGACCAAATGCCCTATCTTGTTGACTATAATGCATGCTCATTATTACATGTATAGGTAGTAAATCTTCAAGAAATGACTCAAACCTGTAATTGTTGACGAAGTCTCTGGTTAAAACTAGATTGTTTGTGAGCTTTTCTGCTAGTGGAAATGTGGAATACATAGTAAAGTGCAAAGTAGTTGTTTTTAGTGGAGCATACAACCCAATTTTATCAGTGTTTAAGGAATTGTTAGCCTTTTCTCTGCAAGGCTATATGCGCATGGGATGGCTAACTACTTTAGCTGTAAATTTTTTCTTTTATTTACTGCAAAGGAATCTTGTCAGAAAACAAACAGATCTCAAGTTAAGATTCTAAACTGTTATACTTTTGGATTTTGACTAAATGGTCATTTCTCATATAACATAGGACCTCTCGCATCCTATGTGAGAATCTTACCACTGGATCAAATGCTGCAAATTGATTTTATTCACTTTTAGTTCTTTAACTAGCAAATAAGGGGGAAGCAACAAAGGAGCATTCCGAGAATTGAACTCGGGACCTCTTGCACCCTAAGCAATAATCATACCACTAGACCAAATGCCCAATATTGTTGTCATTAATGTTAGTTTTTTTATCAGTTTCTAGTGTCCTATTAATTCTCGAAGGGTAAATACCACATGAACTGCCAATTGTTTGCTTTTGATGTGCTCCTTGTATAATTTCATTGCTACAGTGATTTTAGTCTCTTGCTTTTATTAATTCTGTTATAGTTTGCCTGTTAAGAGTTCAATGCCTCCATTGCCTCTTAAAACTTAGATTTGATTTGGATCATTTTGTTTCATATAAATGATGTTAGTTTATACTTAATTTCAGATTTGGATCAACTAAAAGGCAAGATTTATGGACAATGAAATTCAATATTTTAGTCGTACATTCTTTAGTTGGTGAATACCTGATTGATAGTTAGATGGCTAGCGCGCTCTGTCACAAATTTATGGTACCTACAAAGTGGTATAAAGATGAGCTTACCAGACAATTTTCTCATTATGCAGAAAGTTCATCACAAAATGCTGTTTTGTTTGCCAGACCTGCACGCCAAATGCAAGAGAGGCTTCCCTTGTATTTTGATCTGAAGTTCCCTGATATTATGGAAGAGAAACAATGAGGTTCTTTCTTCCCTTTCCTTATATTTAGCTAGTCAGTGTTGACTGAAGGTGAAGTCGATAAATTTTATATTGTTCTGTATTTGTTCTTAAAAGTTGACTTCAGTACATATTCCTCTAATAAAGATAATAATATAGGGAACCAAAAGGAAAAGGAAAAGAAATTGGGGCATTTTGAGAATTGAACTCGAGACCTCTCACACCCAAAGCAAGAATCATACCACTAGACCAAATGCCCATTTTTTTCGCTTTCTACATGTCTAGCATACAATTATTAGATTTTCTCTCCTAGAACTCAAGGTTTGATTTTCCAACCTCTCATTTCTGATGTGGTTCAATGTATCATTCCCCTAGAGGCCAAAACATTTATCATAACATGTTATGAATCTCCAAAATTTTATAAATTCCCTGTAACCATGAAGAGTTTGACTGCTGAATCAGTAAATTGCTAGTTAATTTACATGGGCACCAGAATTGTTTGATTTATACTTCTAATTAATTTAAAAATTAAATTACTGAACAACTGGGCAGCTAAAAGTCTGTAGATCTTAATTTAGCTGGTAAAGTGGTTTGGTTATTGAACAAGGATGTAGGTCTGAAAGCGTAAGGAAAAAAAGAAAGAAATAAAAGCAGTCTTGGCAGATGGAGAATATGGAAACGCAGTCAAAATACTGACTTTAGCTCTCTGTTTTTTTCTGTGTCTGCAGTAAAACATTTATTCTGTTTATTTGTTAGTAATTTTTTTATTATTTTCTGGATGGGTATAAGATTAAGTGAAAAACAATACACTGTATTTATTTTTTACTCGCTGTAAAAGAAAATAAGGAAAAATGACAGGGGCATTCCGAGAATTGAATTCAGGACCTCTTGCACTGTTAAAAACCCCTATCACTGAAGTGGGCCAAAAAACAACCCAAAAAGACATAAACCCAATTATTATTTCTCCTAGTCTGATACCATGTTAATGTGACAACTTTCTCATTTATTTCATCTATCAACTATTTGTTTATATACATCAACAAGAACTAACAATGTAACTGCCTAACTAACTAACTGCACTACCCTACTCCTCAATGTGCACCCTAAGTGAGAATCATTCCATTAGACCAAATTCCTAGCTTTGATGTTGATTTTCCTATTATTATTATTATATAATCCATAGGTGGTATGTTTTCAAGAAATGATGCATTTGTTAATGAAATCTCTGATCAGAAATGGATTGTTTGTGAGCTTTTTTCTGCTTGTGGAATACATAGTAAATTGCTTCATAATTGTTTATAGTGATGCATGGAGGAGAATTATCAGTTTTTTCAGGAATTGTTCACAAAATTACATGTCCTAATAGCCCTTTTCTCTGCAAGGTTCTCAAGGATAAATACTTATAGTCTTGCAAGGGATGCTAACTTCTTTGGCTGTCAGCTGTAAAGCCTTTGTGTAAATTGGATGAACTAGGCTTGAATCCCGTTTTGACCTTTTGTTGAAGGGTTATCGGTGCAAGGGAAGGGACTAAATGGAGGAGGCCTGTTCTCCTTTCTGTTTGCCTTTTGTGTTGTCTTTTTAGCTGAATTGATTGTTGTTGATTTGACTGTTTTCTGCCTTTATTTTGCAGGTTTATGTCAGATTTCCATTTTGTAGGACCAATATTTAAAGCCTATTAACTTTGCAATTTGATGGGTTCTTTGACAGGTTAATGCTGATCCATTTATGTCACATATAATAACATGCAAACAACACTGTTATATGCATTTAGCAACTTATTAACCATTGATTTCATAAAACAAATATACAATTTGATGCTTAAACATAGAAAATAAAAGCAACCAACTGAACTTATTGAGTGGTATCAGTGGTAAAAAGGAGTGTTGTTCTCTCGAATGGACTCCTGTTCTCTTTAGAGGACTCGAATTTGTGCAATTGTGTTTGCAGGTTGTGTGTACGTTATAAATGATTAAGAAAAAATTTAAATAAATATTATCTTGTAATCACTCCAAACAACCTCACTTTCCTTTTCATTTTTACTTTAGTCCATGTGATTACTTCAACCGGGAACTTCATTGGCTTATACCATCTTTCAAGACAAGTTTTCACTTTGGTCTGGTACACATTTTGACACTTAATTTCAGATTTGGGTCAACTAAAAGGGCAAGATATATGGACAATGAATTTGGATACTTTAGTCGTACATTCTTTCTTTAGTTGGTAAATACCTGATTGATAGCTAGATGGATAGCGCTCTCTGTCACAAACTTATGGTATCCACAAAGTGATTTAAAGATGAGCTTACCGGACAATTTGCCCAGTATGCAGAAAGTACATCACAAAATGTTGTTTTGTTTGCCGGACCTGCACGCCAAATACTAGAGAGGCTTCCCTTGTATTTTAACCTGCTGCTCCCCAGATGCGCTTTAATTCCTTCCTTTTTTTTGGCGAGGTTATTGCAGATCTGAAGTTTCCTGATATGGCAGAGAAGCAATGAGGTTCTTTCTTACTTTTCCTTATATTTTAGTAACTCATTGTTGATTGAAGGTGAAGTCGATAAATTTTATATTGTTCTGTATTTGTTATCAAAAGTTGACTTCAAGTACACATTACTCTAATAAAATACTTTGGGATAGGGAACCAAACCAAAAGGAAAGGACCTTGGGGCATTCCGAGAATCAAACTAGGGACCTCTCGCACCCAAAGCGTGAATCATACCACTAGACCAAATGCCCATTTTTTGATATTCGGCATGTCTTGTTTATAGTTATTAGATCTTTCCTTCTAGAACTCTTATTGACTTTCAATGGACTCATTCTTGGAAGACCAAAAATTTCCAATCTCTCACTTTTGATATGGTTCAATGTATCAGTCGCCTACTATAATTGGATGCTAAGGGCATTAGAAATCGCATTTCCAGCAGGTTACAGCTTTTATCCACATTTTAATCCCTGTCTACTGTCATCAATCCAGAGTATGGAAGCCCTAGAGGCCAAAACATGTATATGTTATAATCTCCCAAATTTTATGAATTTATTTTAACCGTGAGGAGTCTTAACTTCTAAATCAATAGGCTTTTAGTTATTTTTTGTTCATAAAAATTAGAATATTTTGATTTATATTTCAAAATAATTTAGAAAATGAAATTGTTGAACAACTGGCCGCTAGTAGAAACCTAATCACTATTTATTGTCCTAATAAACTTTTCAATCTGGTTATCATAGTCTTAGATCTTAATTTAGCTGGTTATCAGGTCTTATTAACTCTCGATGGGTAATAACTCATGAGCTGCCCGTTGTTTCTTCTCTTGCTTTTGATGTGCTCCTAGCATAATTTCCTTGCTATTGTGATTTTAGTCTCTTGCTTTTGCCGTGATACTGTTATTGTTTCCCTGTCAGAGTTCAATGTCACCATTGCATCTTAAAACTTGGACCCTGTTTTTGGTAAATGCTTGGTTAATAGCTAGATGGCTAGCAAGCTCTGTTACTAACTTATAATACATAGAATAATACCATAAAGTGAGCTGCCCGGACAATTTGGCTATTATGCAGAAAGTTCATCTCGAAATGTGCTGTTTGTTTGTTGGCTTACCAAATGCAAGAGAGGCTTCTCTTGTATTTTAACCTGCTCCTTAAATGTGGGTTCATTCCATGTGTAAGAGGTGCCTTTTCTTTGAGAGGTTATAGCAGATCCTGCTTTTCCTGATATTATGGCAGATTAACAATGTGGCTTTTCCTTATATTTGAGCAAGTAATCGCTGACTGAAGTTAGAAAACATATCAAGTTGTGAGGTCAATAAAGTTTTTATTGTGCTCTGAAATTTGATTTCTGGCAAGATTTCTATTGGTCAATATTTCAAGTAAAATATAACTAAAAAGAAACTTGGATCTGGGGCATTCTTTGAATCAAACTCGAGACCTCTCGCATCACAAGCGAGAATCACATTACTAGGCCAAATCCCTATGTAGTTGTAAGCTTTTCTGCTAGTGGAGTACCTGGTAAGGCGCTTCTGAGTTGTTATAGAGGAGCATTGATAGGGAAGCGGTGGCGGATTGATGAACGTTGTTTTATTGAAGAATCAAACCTAGAAAAGATCTAAGACTCGATGAAGAACAACAAGGTATGAATGGGGAAGGTGGCGGCAATAGATAGGGTTTTTTAGGGTTTCTTTTGGTGCTGGAAACAAGATAAGAAATAAGATTAAAACAAGATAAATAAAAGAAAGGAATTGCAAATAAAATAAGATAACCAAGAAATCAAAAGATCTCCCTTATGAAGGTGAACAATAAAGATGATTGATGACGTGGATGGATATGTGGAAAATCGATGGATATGTCCTATCGAGCCCTCCTAGTCGCAATGAAAGGCAAACACGATAATATGGCTCTAACCAACCCCTAGTCGCGATGAAAAGGCAAATTGGAGTGTGAAGATTAATCTCCCTCACAAGAACTTGAAAGAACTCAAGGAGAAGAAGCTTCGAAGGCACAAGGCAATCAGCACTTGCAAAAACGAACTCTCATTGTATTACTAATCAAAGAAATCTTGAATCACAAAGTTTAATGAAGCCTCCTTTATATAGGGGCTGAGTTCTAAAGGTCCTAAATAACTAATGAATAAAATAATAATAAACTAAACATATCTTAACTCTAATTCATAATAAAATAATAATAACTAAATATAATATTTTTAACCCAACCTTAAATCCTAATAAATAATAAATCTAATCCTAAAAGATATGCATCATCCTATTTTAAGTTATATTACAAATAATCAATAAAAATATTGAAAATTCGTAATATTTACAAAATCCCGTATTAATCCCGTATAGGATTTTCTGCATGCACTATCTTCAGTAAAATAGCCATATCTTGAGTTCCCGATATCGGATTGATACGATTCAAGAACCGTTGGAAAGATAAGAGACAGACGGTCGTATCTCCAGAAGACATTTTGACTAAATAAGATCAGGATCCATTCAAAAAGTCGTCGTAAGTATGCTTCTGTTCTGATCTTCTGTTCCAATGCTTGGACGAGTGGATCATTTGGAAGAGTTATTACTTCTTCCTTTGATGTGAGCCTTGTGATGCATGAATCATCCTCCCTTTCTTCAAAAAGATTCGACCTCGAATCAGGATCAATGTGATGTGTCTTATGCGTTTCAGTCGAGGTTTCTTCTTTGTAGGAACTGATTTCTTGTAGTCTTAAAATCCTCTTTTGCATACAAGTCTTGTAATCTGATGTTTAGGTTGAAATTCAACATGGTGTCGACCACTGTTTGCTTTCTGTATGATTTCTTTAGATAATTTCTCCATGGTTTCAGTGGTAGTTCGTTAGGTAGATCACCTAACACTTCTCGAAAATCCTGTAAAAGAGATGAAAACACTAGGCAAATCCTTGTTAATGTTAGAAATCGAAACAATTGATTCCCTAAAGCGAACAAGGATGAAAGGTTGTTTGTAAAGAAGGTTATCTCTCAATTCTTTTGTGCTCACACATAGATTTTGAGTCACTCTTTTCTTCTCACATTTAGGTTCACTCACCTCCCATGGGTCATTATTCTTTTGGCTTTTATAACTAGTGACCTCTTTTGCTTTTGCCTCTTTCTCAACTTTTCTTTTTTTGCTTTCTCTACCTCCTCACAAATTATCATTTGATCTTTAGGGACTGGAAGTGTGTCATTCTTTGCTGGTCGTTCTTCGCCTTGTCAGGTTTGTCATCTCTTGGCTTTTTCAGAGAAGATGGAGTAGAAGATGAGGAAGGATTTGAAGGATTACCTTGGTAAGAGGTTGAAGTACCTTGGTAATGTTCACTGAATCGAGATCTCCTTTGGATTTGTGCTTCGATTGTCATTGTTTTCTTAGTGTATCTTCAAGGTTTTCGTACCCTTGTAGATCAAGAAGATCAGTGATGTTTGAGTTTAAGCCGACGATGAATCTTGACACGGTGACTTCTTCTTTTTCGGTTATGTTAGTCTATTGAGTAAGAACTGCATCTCCTTGTAGTAATCTTCAACTGAACTTCTACCTTGTCGAAGTCGGTGTAGTCGTTGTTTAACTTCTCGTGTATAATGTGTCGGTAGGAATCGGTTCCTCATGGTTTGTTTGAGGTCGGTCCAAGAAGTGATTGTTGGAATTTGGAAGTTCTGGATCTTTTTCCTTGTTTGCATCCACCAAGTTCGAGCATATCCTTCGAATTGTGTGGTGATGATGTGAACTTGTTTAGCTTGGGGGCAGTCATGGTATGCGAACATGAGATCAACTTTTCCTTCACATTCGATGTACCTGTCTGGATCATTGTCTCCTTTGAAAGACGGGATCGTGAACTTTGGTTTTGCAAAGAGTTTGAGTGCTTGAAAACGTGGTTGTTCTCGCCCGGGTACCAAAAGTTCAGCATTGTTAGGTCTTGGATTCTGGTTTGGTAGATCCAATTGTGGTTTTTGTCGTTCTCTCACGATTTCATCAAATCTTTCAACTTGAGTCGTGAGTCGGGTAGTGTGGCTAAGATAGCCGTAAGTGTCTTGTTGTTATTGTCACCCATCCTGAAATCATAACACTCAAAAGAAAATTTTAAAGTAAAATAAAATAAAAGGAAGAAAATTCAACAAAGCAAGAAACCTCACAAGTCACTCCAAGAAAGTAACACAACGAGAGGCAAGTAAGCCGATCTTGTATTCTTTAAAACTCACTTTATCAAGTAGTCTTCCACAGTTCGTATCGGAGTTTGATTACTAGCAAAGGCGATAAGAAAAAAAAACTTAAAAGTTCTAGAGGCCAAACAAGGGTTAGACTCCAAGAGAACGAGAATGCAAAGAAGGAAGAAGTATGCAAACTCTTTAGTCCTACTAACACAAGAAAGATAATGTGTTAGATAATGCACAAGAACAATAAAAAGAAAAAACAAAAGAACTTAAGGCACTAAGAGTCAAAGAAAAAAAAAGAACCAACCCAGAAACCTGGAAAATGCTGGATCAACTTGAGCAACGTTTTTGAGGGGGTTACCGGTGTACAAAAATTTTGGAAAATTCTTGAATGTCTTTCGATGCGTCAATAAACCACCTGTAAAATTTCAGAACCAAATACCTTCAGTAGTATCCAGTGGACTCTGTTGAACGGTGAGTCCTCAAACAATCTGTTTTTCTTGATCACTTTGTTCGAAGGTGTTCTTGATCTCCAAATATTGCTTTTTTGTGTAATGATCTTCAATATATGAAGTTGCAATCTGGAAATTTTCACCATGAAATTCCTCCTGTAGAATTTTCAAGAAATTCGACAAGATCCTAGACCAAATCTGCCGATGAAACTGAAGAACGTATTTGAAGGCTCTAATGAACTCCGATTTGGGTGAATTTCGGACTGGAGATTTATATTAGGATGAATATGATATCTGGATAAAATCAGCCCTAAATACCTTCTTTTGCAATTTTTTTTGAAATTTTGGCTTTTTTGTTTTTGTTTTGTTTTTGCTCTTTTTTTTTTTTTTTTTTTGTTTTTTGTTTTTGAAAAAAATAGCAAACTAATAAGAAGGATTTGAATCTAAATTAAAATTAAATAAAAAGAACCTGAAACGATGAATCTTTTCTAGACTAGCTCCGTTGGGATACCTTGACGGTTTTGTGTGCAAGAACAAGCAAGATTGCTTGCTTCTTTCCAAGAATCGGTCCAGCTCTGATACCAATTGATAGGGAAGCGATGGCGGATTGATGAACGTTGCTCTTGTTGAAGAATCAAACCTAGAAAAGATCTAAGACTCGATGAAGAACAACAAGGGATGAATGGGGAAGGTGGCGGCAATAGATAGGGTTTTTTAGGGTTTCTTTTTGGTGCTGGAAACAAGATAAGAAATAAGATTAAAACAAGATAAAGAAAAGATAAAGGAATTGCAAATAAAATAAGATAACCAAGAAATCAAAAGATCTCCCTTATGAAGGTGAACGGTAAAGATGATTGATGACGTGGATGGATATGTGGAAAATCTATGGATAATGTCCTATCGAGCCCTCCTAGTCGCAATGAAAAGGCAAACACGATAATATGGCTCTAACCAACCCTCCTAGTCGTGATGAAAAGGAAAATTGGAGTGTGAAGATTAATCTCCCTCACAAGAACTTGAAAGAACTCAAGGAGAAGAAGCTTCGAAAGCACAAGGCAATCAGCACTTGCAAAAACGAACTCTCATTGTATTATTAATCAAATAAATCTTAAATCACAAAGTTTAATGAAGTCTCCTTTATATAGGGGCTGAGTTCTAAAGGTCCTAAATAACTAATGAATAAAATAATAATAAACTAAACATATCTTAACTCTAATTCATAATAAAATAATAATAACTAAATATAATATTTTTAACCCAACCTTAAATCCTAATAAAATAAATCTAATCCTAAAAGATAATGCATCATCCTATATTAAGTTATATTACAAATAATCAATAAAAATATTGAAAATTCGTAATATTTACAAAATCCCGTTTTAATTCCGTATAGGATTTTCTGCATGCACTGTCTTCAGTAAAATAGCCATATCTTTAGTTCCCGATATCGGATTGATACGATTCAAGAACCGTTGGAAAGATAAGAGACAGACGGTCGTATCTCCAGAAGACATCTTGACTAAATAAGATCAGGATCACATTCAAAAAGTCGTCGTAAGTATGCTTCTGTTATGATCTTCTTTTCCAATGCTTGGACGAGTGGATCATTTGGAAGAGTTATTACTTCTTCCTTTGATGTGAGCCTTGTGATGCATGTATCAAGCATACAGCACATTTCGCAGTTTTGGTTGTTCACAAAATTACATGTCCTGATAGCCTTTTCTGACACCCTAAGCAAGAATCATACCACTAGACCAAATGCCAAATATCACTTTTATCAAATTAATGTTTTAACTAGCAGTTTTGTGAAAATTGTATTAACTTCTAATGGGCTAATACCTTTTCTTTCACAGGTTATGACAGATCTATTGTTTCCTGGGGCTTCAAAGATAACGCTGCATTTCATTTCCCAATGACCATTATTATTCCAGGTATGGCTCAGAGGCTAGCTTGCCCACATGTAAAGATAATTCATGCAGCCTAATTTAGCTGGTAAAGTTGTTTGGTTATTGAACAAGAATGTTGGTCTGAATCCCACCTTCACCAAAGGGCAAGGAAGTGGGGATGTAGGGAATGTGGAGACGTAGTCCACTTATTATAACCTGGTAGTTGGATCAGGAAAAAAGAAAGAAATAAAAGCAGATGGAGAATATGGAAATGCAGTCAAAGAGGGGAAAAATACTTTGGCTTTAGTTCTATGTTTTTTCCTGCTGTGCCTTCAGTAAAATATTTATTCTGTTTATTTGTTAATCATTGTTTTACTATTTTTCTGGATGGTTATGAAAAGATTAAGGGCAAACAATAATTTACTTTTTACTCGCTATAAAAGAATCTTGTTAGGAAACAAATAGATCTGATGTTTTACTTTTTAAAGTTGACTTAAAAGCTGAAGCAATCATAATATATTTGAAATAGAAGAGCATGAAAGAAGAAAAGGGAAGGGGCATTTCGAGAATTAAACTCGGGACCTCTCGCACCCTAAGCGAGAATCATACCACTAGACCAAAAGCCCGATTTTCATAATAATTGTGTTTTGTTCGTATTATAACATTTATAGGTGGTAAATTTTCATGAACTGGTGCATTTGTTGATGAAGTCTCTGATCAGTAATGGATTGTTTGTGTGCTTTTCTGCTTGTTGAATGCATAGTAAATTGCTTCATGGTTGTTTATACAGATGCATAGAGGAGGATTATCAGATTTTGCAGGAATTGTTCAAAAAACTACATGTCCTAATAACCTTTGCTCACACCCTAAGCAATGATCATACCACTGGACCAGAACTAAATTGTTTGAACTTTCTTCTTGTGTAAACTTTTAAAGGTATAGAAGGTAGTGAAGAAAAAGCAGTTGTGCATTCTGAGAATTGAATCAGGACCACACTCGCCCAACGTTAGGAAACTGCGACTGGAACAAATACTCATCCATTGTCTTTAATTTATTGTTATTACATTTGCAGGTAGAAGTTTTCAATAAATGGTGCATACCACTAGACGAAATGCCTATTTTTATATTTATCATGTCTAGTATATAGTTATTAGATCTTTTCTCTTATAACTCCTATTAACTTTCAATGGCCACATTCTTGGAAAAACTAAATTTTCCAATCTCTCATTTTTTATGTGGTTTAATATCATTTGCGTACTATATTTGGATGCTAAGGGCATTATAAATCATATTTCCACCAGGTTACAGCTTCTATCTGCATTTTAATAACTATATACTGTTATCAGTTCAGAATATGTTAAGAATCTCCCAAATTTTATAAATTTTATGTAACCATGAAGAGCCTGACTGTTGAATCAGTACTTTGCTAGGTATTTTACATGGACATTGGAATTGTTTGATTTATACTTGTAATTAATTTAAAAAATGAAATTATGGAACAACTTGGCAGCTAAAAGTTTGTAGATCTTAATTCAGCTGGTAAAGTTGTTTGGTTATTGAACAAGGATGTCGGTTTGAATCCCACCATCACCAAAGGTAAGCAAGTGGTATAGCCTGGTAGTTGGATCAGGAAAAAAAACAGTCTTAGCAGATGGAAAATATTCTGCTGTCTTCAGTAAAATATTTATTCTGTTTATTTTTGTTAGTCATTTTTTTTAAATTATTTTTGTCTGGATGATTAGAAGTTTAAGGACAAAAAAAACGAACCATTTAACTCTTTACTCTCTCGCACCCTAACCGAGAATCATACCACTAGACCAAATGCCCTATTTTCATAATAATTGTGTCTCATTATAGTATTTATATATGGTAAGTTTTCAAAAAATGGTTGATGAAGTCTCTGATCAGAAATGGATTGTTTGTGAGCTTTTTTCTGCTAGTGGAATACATGGTAAATAGCTTCATATTTGTTTATAGAGATGCGTTGAGGAGAGAATTATCAGTTTTTGCAGGAATTGTTCACAAAATTACATGTCCTAATAACCCTTTTCTACGCAAGGTTCTCAAGGATAAATACTTATAGTCTTTCAAGGGATGCTAACTTCTTTGGCTGTCAACTGTAAAGCCTTGCTGTAAGTTGGATGAGGTAGGCTTGAGTCCCGTTTTGACCTTTTGTTGAAGGGTTATTGGTGTAAGAGAAGGGGCTAAATGGAGAAGGTCTGTTCTCCTTTCTGTTAGCCTTTGTTTTGTCTTTTTAGCTGATGGACTGTTTTCTTCCTTTATTTTGCAGCCTACTAACTTTGCAATTTGATGGGTTTCTTTGACAGGTAATGGTGGTGGATCCAACTATGCCGCGTATGCTAACATGCAAATAACACATTGTTGTATGCATTTAGCGACTTACTATTAAACATTGATTCCATAAAACAAATATGCAAGTATCTCTATTTATTATAAAATTTCTCGTTCAATTTGTTTCACGGTGTAAAAAGAAAATTTCACATATAAACTTTTTTTTTAAATTTATCGATAATCATTTGTTGAATAATTTTTTATGTAAAATGCTTTCGTTTACGGATAAAATAAGCAAAATTTTTGTTTACCGAATAAAATACAGTATCTATTTATAATTATTTTTAATTATTGATAGTGTACAAAAATTTTATAGATGCAGTTACTCGATCTTTGAATTTTAAAGAAAAATAATATTCTTTTATATATTATTTATTGATTGACTTAATTTGTTTCATTCGTAAATTGAGGTGAAGTGGTTTTATATTTAATAAATATGAAAGTTAAAATCGATAAAAAAAAAAGCTAAAAATTACAAAAATATAAACCCTAAGCTCTCAGAGTTAGTAGATTTATTCACTTAAACTCGAAGATTTATAGATTATAGTGATGGATTCGTAGTTATTTAGAAATATTAGAAAAATATTAAAATAAAATTTTAATCATAATTGAAAGACCAAATGAGAATTATTTTTTAATTTAATGTGTAATTTTATACCTTTACATTGCTAATTAATGATGCCATATTTATTTTATAATAAAATTAAAATTTTAGTTTTATAATTTTAAAATATTTAATAACTTTAAAAGTATTTTTAACATAGCTGAATAATCATTCATGTAATTTACTCTAACAAATATTGTTTGGTCTGAGCCTTGATAGTTTATTAATAATTGATATAACCCACAGCCATGGCTGCCGCTTCATTCAAAGCCACCACCTCTAAGACACGTACTCTTAAACACACTAGTTTTTACCATAACCTGTTTTGATTTTATCAAAGTGAGTTGTTCGATACAGGTTGGTACAAAATTTTAGAAAATTAGGAGGTTAAGAAAAAATATTTATTTACTTTAATTTTTAATAAAATATTAATTTTATAATTTAAATACTTATTTAAAAAAATAGAGAATGATTCATAGTGATAGTAGAGGGCTTTATTCTTTATCCCTCATAGTCGAGTGTCGATACCCCGTTATCGGCCCTTTTTTGGTTACGGTTGAACCCCATCGTCGTTTCAGGTTGAATTTTGGCCCTTTAAAGTTGTGTTGACTGTGACCTTAACTCTTTTTCTTAATTGGATTATTAATTTAATTTATTTTTAAAAATTAGATTCAGTCAATCTAATTCGATTTAAATATAAATATATTAATAAAAAATCACTTAATTCAATATTTAAAAATTCAATAAACTCGGTCCATCCTGAACCTGATAGACATAACTCAAATTTAATTTAAATTTAAATATAAAAAAAATAAATGTCCTTCCGCCACATATTTATCATCCTTTAATATTACAATTGCATAAATGTAAGAGAATTTGGATAATTTACTTCAAATAAGGATGTAACTCTTGATGCTGTGATTTGCTTCCCAATTGCCTCTCGGGTCAATCCAATTCCAACTAAATATTTCTTGGAATTCAAGTTGGATAAATCGGTATATTCAATTCAACCCAAATCTCCTGATTGGCAATTCAATTATAAAAGTGAATAAAATTATTAGAAAACATATCATAAATAGTAACAAAAATTCAAAACCATACAAATTGACTAAAAATCAGATTTTTTTTCATTTGTAACAAACAATCAAAAAAGTTAACTTTTTAGGGTAAAAATATAATTTGGTGCTTAAATGGGCTTCAAGATTCAGTTTGGTACATACGTTCTTTTTGATGTCACTAGGTATTTAAAATATGACTTTATTATATTATAGTAAACATGTCAACATTCAACTCAGACGATCATCAATTATTTTAATGAGAAAAAAAGAATGAGTTTAGAACATTTGAATAATCGAATGACTATTTTATAATTTTTAATAGTCGAGGGACTTAATAAAATAATGTCCTATAGTGATTAGTGAGGGATCAGATGAAAGACAAATCAATAATACATCGGATTATATGACTAGTGTATTGTATAATCCATTTTAATTTAAATAAACTTACTTAAAAAAGCTAAAGTACACAAATGATCATTTGATTATATGATATTGTTTTGCTGAGCCATTCGACTATTAAAAGTTATAAAATGTTCCTCCAACTATAATGAGTTATTTTGTTGAGTCCATCGGCTATTAAAAGTTGTAAAATGATCAACCGACTATTCATTATATTTCCTTGTCCTTTCCATTAAAAAAATTAAATGTCGCCTGAATTAGACGTTAACATGATGACTGAGATATGATACTCGTTTGAGATTATGAGATCATACAGTTTAACGTCCAACTCAGATTGTCGTAATTTTTTTAACGAAAAAGGACGAGTTTGAAACATAATGAACAGTCGAGCTACAAATTTTTAACTTTTAATAATCGATGGACTCAACAAAACAACTCTTTATAACTAAAATATCATTTTGTAACTTTTAATAGTCGAAGAGTTCAACAAAACAATATCATATAATCAAGAGACCATTTATATAATTTACCCATAAAAAACTATTTAACTTGCTGTTTCATTTTCTTACAATAATAATACAAACTACAATTCAGAAGGTAACATGCAATGATTGTTTTACATGTTATTTATCGATGTGATTGTAGAAACCGATCTACATTGTCTTGTAATTATTGTAAGGGTAGCGATGAAATTTAAAGTCAGAACCGTAATTAATTTTGTACTAAAATTTCATAAGTGTTCACAAATATAATGTAAAAAAATATTAAAAATATATATTTACATATTTTTCTAATTTAATTTAAGTAAAAATCTTTATTATTGCTTAAATATAATAATTTATATTGTACCAAATCCATCATCAGATGTTTATTTAATTAAGCTGCAATAATGTTTAAATTCAAGTATACTTTATTATACTTGTGTCTAGCAATAAAAGAAGTGTACATTCATTGGATAAACCTAAAAAAATTGACAGCAAATCATTTATGAAATTTTGAGATTAGGGTGTGTTTAGAAATAACTCTTTGCAAGTAATATTATTTTTAGATTGAAATTTAACTTAAGTTAGATATATTATATCCATGGTATTTTCAATTAGTAAGAACAAAAAATGATTAATAATTAAGGTGGGTAAAACTAGATTTGACTAAAAATAATTGAATTTTCGATTTGACTCAACTCGTAATTTCATAAACTCGACCCGATTTTTAAAAAATAAATTTGAGTCAAGTTATAAAATAAAACTAGAATAACCTAAATTTTGTAGTGAATTGTCGATTAGTTTTCAAGTTTCAATCGAGTCTCTCAACTCTACATTAATATATATATGTATATCGCATATGAAGAAATATATATGTGTATCGTATATGATTGTAGAAAATCGTTTAGATTAAAATCAAATAGTACCATAATATTATAAATATTTATAATTAAATTTAAAAAAAAAACTCGAACAATTCCACTCAACTCAAAAAAATCACATAAAATATGAGTCGTAAAATATTACTCATCAAATTTAAGTAGGCCCGGCCCAATACATGTGCCAGATGAATCTTATCTCATGACAATATGTTTGAGGGGAACATCAGTTTTCTAGTGCTTATAGTGTGTATGTATATATATTTGGCCCAAAAAATTAGCCCAAAACTTTCTAGTTTTGAATTTATTTTAAGTTTAGTTATATGACATGAAATTTTGTTTAGAGTTAATTTGGTTAGTAAGACATTACAATCCAAAGATATGCTTCTTGATGTTGCGGTTAAAAACTTAGAGTGGTTAATTAATTATTTTGAAGCATATAGGGAAATTGGGTTTGACAATGCTATTAACGAAGCTAAAGAAATAACATATAATATTAGTGTTGAACCTCAATTTCCTAAAAAAACATATTTCTTATAGAAAAAATAATTTGATGAAATTTCAAATGCCGAAAGAGAACAACAATCTTCTCAAGAAGCATTTCGAAAGGATTACTTGTAGATATGGCTCTTGTTCAATTGAAAAGTAGATTTGAATAAATGCAACATTTCGAGCCTATTTTTAGTTTTTTGTTTGATGGTTCAAAGTTAATTTCATTACTTGATGACGAACTAAAAAAATGTTGTTTAAAATCTTGAGTCCAATTTGACAAATGGTGAAGAATTTGTATTGATAGAAAAGATTTATTTATGGATTTACAAATTTTGCAGAAAATGTTGCCGGATAAAGCACACAAAAGTGAAAGTCCATGGACATCTATTCAGATAATGGAGTTTGCAAGAAGAATAGATATGTTCCCTAATGTGTTGATAGCATATAAAATTTTGTTGAAGATACCGGTTACGGTTGTTTCCGCGGAAAGAAATTTTTCAAAATTGAATCTCTTGAAATCCTATATTCGAAGCACGATGACTAAAGATAGCTTGAACGGATTAGAAATTCTAAGCATCGAAAGTCAATTTTTACAAAGTCTTGATTATCGTAAACTAATAAAGTTTTTTTGTTCAAAAAATGCACGAAGGCATCATTTTAGGTGATATTTGTAGCATTGTAGGTTTTGGTTTGTATTAGTATTATATTGTTTGACTATAATTTCTATTACATTTTTGTTTTAAAAAAATTATTTATGTTTTGTCTATTATACAGTACAATTATAGGGGCATAAAATTATTATCTCGCCCATGATATTAAAACTCATTGGACCGACTCTAAATTTAAGTATGTTTGAAATGCAATGCACACAAGCAAAATAGATAATGGGTAGAAATAATGAAATTATATCAAACATTTATAATCACTCTTACAATGAATGCATTATTTTTTTAGAAGAAAGTGTTAAAATAGTTCATCAATTAATATAATTTTAAACATCAAACAAAAAATTTATAGCCTTAAAGTGATTAATATTTAATATATTGATAGATAACTTCATCGTCCTAATAGTTAAGGAGATTAATTGTCCCTTATTTAGAATTTGAATCGATATATTCTTCGGACTAAAATAATTTTAACTCTTTAAATTATGAGTGTTTAGTGTTTATTTTTAATCTAATTAAAAGACATACTTTAAATTTAGTTCAATTAATGGATCAATTAATTAAATATAAGAATTGGTCACGATATAATTTCACCGAAACATATACAACGTACTTCTACATACATATAATCTAATTATTTCGTAATTTTTAATTCTTTTGAATTAGATTTCGGATTAAATCCACTATGATATGATTGAAAAATTATTATTAAAAATTAAATATTATAATTAATCTGATCGAATAAATAAATAAATAAATAAATATTTTAAGATTTTATTAATTATAAATTTTATCTAAACAAATCCTTTTCTTTTTATCTTTTAGCTATTAATAACCAATTCAACTGATTGAATAAATTGCCTTTACAAATATGACTCCAATCTTCTGTTTACTAAAAACCTTTTATAAATTAACATTATTTGATTTTTTTTAATAAGGTAAGAGAATGTAAATTGCATAGAATTAAATTAATTTTTTTATTTTTATTATTTATATTTGAAATTTATAATTGTTTTGAACTTGAATTATCTCCTTAAAATATACTTTACTTTATTACTCAATATCAATACACCTAATAATATTATCCTCACGGTTTAAATTTAAATACTTTTTTATCAGAATACAATATATTTTATTATTAGATTAATAGTAATTTAAGACTAATTTCAACTGAATATTTAATATTAAACTTGTTTATCACATATCACAGTGATCCAGTCCACTTCGTCATTCGATTTTAAGTGTATATTTAAAAGACCGAATAATATTCATTTTAAAAAGGAAAAAAATGGGAAAAGAACTTTGTTGAACAGAAAAACACTGAACAGGAACAGAAGTCATTGAAACCAAAGCCAATTATAAACCAGATACCACCACCAATATCGATTTACTCCTCCACACCACCGTCTCCGTTATCAATGCCGCCGCCATCGCAAAAGCTGATATCCCTCCACTAAACGCCTTTGCCACAACTGCAACTTTATCGTTACATCAACCAGATGATGCCCCTCTCTCACTCGACTCACTCTAGCAACTCCTCTGCAGCTGCTGATAGTAGTAGCTCCACCACCAGCAGATCCGGTGATGGCGCCGTTGAAGTGGTAACTCCGGAACACTACACGTCTTCCCACCGTCAATCTCAAACTTTACGCAGTTATCCACCGTCCGACGAGGAAACCATTTCCAAACTCATCGACTCGGAATTCCATCACATGCCTTTCTCCGATTACCTCCACCGTTGCCAGCAACGTTCCATCGACGTCATTTCCCGCCAAGATTCCATCAATTGGATCCTAAAGGTACCCCCCCCCCCGCGTTTTCCTATCTTAAGCGTGTGTATATAAACGTATACATAGACATATATTCAATTTTTACTGGTTTTTGATGCGGTGAGGCAATGCAGGTGCATGCATACTATAATTTCAGCCCAGTAACGGCGTTTCTCTCGGTCAACTACTTAGACCGTTTCCTCTCTTCCCATTCTCTTCCGGTAAACACTGGTTTCCTACTGTTATTAAAAATGAACAAAAAATTAGTCTACCATTTTGCTTAATTTCTTTGATTTGGTATGTAGCTAGAAAATGGATGGCCGTTTCAGCTTCTATCTGTGGCTTGTTTATCTTTAGCAGCGAAAATGGAGGAACTGGAGGTGCCATCGTTGCTGGACCTTCAAGTGCTGGAACCCAGATTCGTTTTTGAGCCTAAAACCATCCAGAGAATGGAGCTTCGTGTGATGGCCATTCTCAATTGGAGACTACGTTCCGTTACTCCATTTGATTATCTCCATCACTTCGTTTCCAAGCTCTCTGCGTTCTCCAGCTTATTACCCGATTCATTTGATTCTCTTATCTCTGCTTCTTCCCATCTCATTCTCAGCACCACTCGTGGTATATAATAATTCTGTAGATCTATCAATTAAACTACAAAAAGCTTTTAGTTCAATTTGTTTTATATGTCGTTTGAGTCTTGATGTTGTTTTTCTTTTTGGGTATTTGCAGTTATTGATTTCTTGCAATTCACGCCGTCGACGATGGCGGCAGCCGCCGTGTTTTGCGCTGCCGGGGAGGGTTCACAATTTCCGACTGACGACGCCTTCTTTCACGAGAGTGTAAACAAAGTACGTACTTTGTGTGTGTGTTTTAAGAGGACTTAAGTATATTTTATGTTTCTTTAATGGTCATTTTAAAAATATTCCCTTTTTATGTGCGGGTTTTTCGAAGATTAGGGAAGCATCGAAAGCTGTGTAAAAAATTATAAAATCTCGTTGTGATTTTTATTTTCTTCTTTTTCTTTTTTGCTTGGGGATAGGAAACGGTGAGAAGCTGTCACCAACTAATGGAGAAATACATGATCGACACGTGTCCATCTGATCGGCTCAAGAACCCAAGAGTCGAGCCGTCACCCGCGCCTCCAAGCCCAGTCGGCGTCCTCGATGCAGCTGCTTGTGGCAGCTGTGATACGCGCTCCGATAATCCCGGCTCCAGTAGCCAAGTCGAGCGGCCAGCCAAGAGGTTAAGATCCTCTGATCTGAATGTACAGCAACCGTAGATAAAAGCCCCAACCCTCTCCTTGGTCCTTCCCTCTTTACCTTCCGATTTTTTATTTTGGTCATTTTATGTTATTAATTAGATGATGAACGGTTGGGATTGTATGATAAAAGGGAATAGCGAATTTTGTTATTTAAACAATGTTACCATTCTTACTTTCAAGGCATAAATATATATTATACTAAATTTTTTGTTCTTATGGGCTTTTTGGTCAAATAGCCTAGGCTGTTTCTCATTATGTCTCAATTATTCTCAAGCTATAGCTCAACCATGAGTGCATGTCACAAATATGGTTGGTCCAATCATTTCATACGGACTAAAGTATCCTTTTCATTCTTAGTTCTTGCACCCTTTAATGAAAAAAAATAAAATGGTAAGTTGTATGTTTAGTACCTCAAGTATCATTTTTATTTATTTTGGTCATTTAATTTTTTTTCTTTCAAAATCATAATTAATGATATGTTTTGGTTTTATTTTGATTACTCAATGTTAAAAATTAATCGAACCATTGACATAATATTTTTTTAACTTTTTTTAATGATGACATAATATTACCTTATGATGATATAATTTATCGTTAATTTTTTAACCGTGAGTTGTTCTTAAGATGAAATTAAAATGTAATATTATGTATGATTTTGAAATAAAAAATAGTTAGGTGACTAAAACATAATAGAAATAATAGTTGAGATTCTAAACTTATAGTTTATCCAAAATAAAATAAAATAATTGTTTGTGATTAATTCCATAATTTTCACGTGTTAACATATGAATTTATGTGTTGATTTTTTATTCTATTTTATTAAAAATAGATAAGAATGATTTAACATGATTTTCATGTCGGTATTTATGATTGGGTCTCTCCTATTAATGTTTGACTTAGTTTGTTTCAATTGCACCTGCCATTTATGGGTAATTCGTTATTAAGGGGTTATTTGTTTACTGTAGAATGAAATTATTCAGAGTTAAATGTTGAACCGTTTAACATTTATCGTGTTTGATTTTCACCTTTGAATGAAGACTGTGCTAAATGATTCAACAAAACACTGCTGAATGATTCAGCATTAAAGTATATTTTGAATTATTAAAAATCATTATCAAACAATATGTCATATTCAGAGTTAATTCATACATAGCCTTTGAATCATTCATGCCATTGAATTATTCAACGCTTAATCATTCTGATTTAATTAAACAACCCCTAATTTTGATAACTAACATATTATAACAATTGAAACTTTCAAAGGATAACTAAAGTGTGAATGGCAATAATAATGAAATTTGATTTTGTTTTTTAAAACATATAATCACATGATATATACACTTTAGTACTACAATTAAATAGTATATGAACTTTATTTACAATTTGAGCTAGTGACATAAAGAAAAGTAATCAATAGCGTGTGGGGGAGGGGTGGCCTTTTAAGAGGGTATGAGCTCAGGCGTGACGCGTCGTATGCCACGTAAGATTTGGTGCCAACTGGTAAGCGAGGGAAGAAGGGGTTTTTGGAGGGAAATGTGACGAGAGTGATTGGTGTGGGACGATCAGAACCGTGCAGCTGTCAAGAAAGGACAAGTGTACTGGGATTCTGGAGTCGATTTGATAAGAATTTAAATAAAAAGGTTTTGTGAGTGTCCACCACGCGTCACATCAAACTTGGACGATAACACATTTCCCACTTTACCCTAAAACCCAACTAACAGTCTTTTATTTTGTCGGGAGAAACGGGGTAAAGACAAGTTTGGATTTCCCTTTTATTTTCTATAATGTTTTTGTGATTTAATAATCATAAGCTACATACGTGTATTAGTAAAATATTGTTTAATTATAAGAATAATATTTATTATTACAATAACATTTTCTTTAGGTTAAACAATATTTAGTATGACAATATTATAAAAATAAACAACATTTAGGCTCAAAAGATTTTTTTCTTAAAAAAAATCAAGGCTTTTTGCACCCTTAAAACCTATTTTTAATAATTATATTTGATCAAATATACATAAAACAGAAATATAACAGTATACACCCAAAAGATTAATAATTTTCTTCGCCTTAATAGAGCAATAAATTTGTCTTTACCCTTTGCTTTTAATTTGAAGTCAAGATTCAATCATGTATATTTTGTTTTCTAGTTATTCTAATTTACAACCTTGAAGAAAACTTTTAACGTTGTTAAAATGCCGAATTGATGACATTTCGATGTAAATGTGTGTGGGTTTGTTCCTCTTCTCTTCATGGGATGTATCCAAAATGTTTATGTGTATTTTCAACCCTAATATTAGCATGCATGCATACTGTGGTAGATTCTAATGTATTTAAAAGTGAGCATTTGAAATTTAAATTTTATTCGATTACTTACTTATTTTATTAATAATGTTCATTCTAAAATTTTATTTGTGTCTATCAACTTAAATTTTTTTTGATATTAATATATATATATATGTATACTTTCAATAATATTTTTGAATTACCATTATTATTATGCTTATTATATACATATATATATATATATATATATAGGTGTGTGCATATATAGATATATGCATGCACGCCTGCGAACATTGCCATAATTATTTAGAGTTCTTGAAATGGGATCCTTCCCTACCACGATACTCTATATATTTCAAACAAATAATTTAGCTGAAAAAAAACAATATATAAAGTTGAATCATGCTCACCAATAATTGAATTCAAAGTTAGTTCATCCCTAATTGTGCAAAATAGTTCGGATTTTGTCATCCCCTCCAACTCGAAACTGTTTTCTCTGATACGGTGTACTCCCATCCTTCTCCCATGTTTTCTTAATGTATAGCCATGGCCTTTGCTAAAAAAAGTAAAAGAATAATTGTGTTGATGGCATTCCCAATAATATATGGCTGGGATTTTCCCAGAAAAGAAAAGAAGAGGGATACGTTTAAAGATGACGAGTTTCAATACATGTCCAGGCTGTTAGCAAAAGGAGGGATGTAGGACCCCATCTCATCATCTTCCACCAAATTTCCTGCACTGCAGGCGCAGCAGCAGCATATGGATAGAGTATTATGAGGGGTGTAAATGAATCGGGATCGATTGTGTTTGTTTATTTATTTTGAAGTTATTCATTTTGGTTAGTTCTCGTATAAACTTTTAATATTGTATTCATTTGTTTAATTTTGAAGAATTTATGTTTGATTTGTTTAGCGTTCATTTAATGTTTGTGAACATGTAAATAACATGTTCACCAACATGTTCGTTTATCATTCACAAACATGTTTATTTATATTATCAGAAAATAGTAAAATATGCCACTAGTCTTTAAACTCCTTAAGCTTCATAGTTTGAACTCTAAAGTTTATCTTGGGTTCAATTTTGTCCCTACCTTTACCAATATTTAAAATGTAAAAAGAAGAAGAAAAGTTGAATCAAATAAACGAGCTTATAAACTAGTTAATAAATTAATCAATAAACGAAATTGTTCATGAACATAAACGAACCAAACACACTTTTATTCATGTTTATTCATTTATTAAATTAATATAAAAATTTTCCTCATCCTTATTTTAGTTTAATAAACAAATATAAAAAAAAGTATCATACAAATAATTTAAAAGTAATTTATCAAACGATTTATTTATTTATACCCTCAACTTAAACTATATTACACAAGGTAGGCATCCGTGTACATGTGAAGCCTGGGGTGAGGCAACGAATGGGACCTACGAAATGCAGTGATGGGTAGTAAAAGCCCTTTCAGGCTTTTTAGAGGAAAAGGGTCTGACTCCACCCTTCTTTACCACAATGTCTCATTGGAACCTTTGGAATGGCGCCAATGCATGAGACAAACCAGCATTAACAACCCCCCCCCCCCCTGCATTGCCATCTAGAAATGTCCGTGACCGGACCAGTTCAAACTCGGGTTCAGTGCATGTATGACCCAAACCTCATATAATGAATATCAACTTTTATCTAAATATATTTTTAAATTTCCACACATAACTTGTTATCCAGTGGATAGGTGCATTGAAAAACCAGCCAAGGAGGGTGAAAATGAAAAGGACAACAACAAAATAATAAATTTGAAAATAAGTAAACATAGCTCACAAGTGTATGGAACCAGCGAGGCATGCAAGGGGATATATGGCTCTAAAGATTGCAACTGAATGGCCAGTATCATTTGGAAGCTTCCTATGTTTTTAATAATGTCGGCCATCTGTCATGAACTCACAGCCTTAAAATATGACTTTACAATAAAGTCCCATAGACATGGGAAATATCGAAGCAGTTGAATTCAAACGACCGATGTCCTGTCATAACACAGCTGGGAGTGCCCCTCGTAGCTTGAAGTTAATCATGATTGAAAATTAGGGTTTGATGTAGGGCATAAGTTATGTAAATGTGTCGATATAAGTATATGTCTTAGTTGACTAATGACATTTTGTATGAGATGTGGGTTGTGTGATAGGTTTCAAGGGTGCAAAATTAGCAAGAGTATTCTGCAGAGAATGGAAATCTGAAGTTTCTTTAGCTTATTGTTTCTATCTTCAAACAACACAAAGTCTACACGTCTCTTCGAATATTAAACTATACTACACCACCAGAAGTTTTGTGTAAACATCACAAAGAGTCACTGAACGGTATATATCTATCAGAAAGGCAAAATTGGTAAGAACATTTTAATGAGAATGAAAACCTGAAATTTCTCTGCCTCATCGTTTCTATCTTCTAAAGAGTTACTGAAATGTGCAAAATTAAAATCCTTACAATAAATAATTTTACACTTATACAAATGAATCTCTCTCAATATATATATATATATATATATGACATAGCGTGACAGTTTCTAATGAATAATTGATGAACATGGATTTCTGCATCAATAGGGGTTGAAAACACAAGAAATGTTGACACAAAAATTATGGTATATTACAGAATATTTTGCACATAGGATGTCTTGTTCAGCAAGACATACGTATTCTTACTCTTTTGTTAGTAAGAAAGTTCAACCGCATGCCAAGTATGGTTACTGGTAAGGTTTTAAATTTACGTATTGTTTTTATTTGTTAGTTTAAAAGTAAGAATACAAGTTTTCCATGGGAGAAAATAGGCCGGACCATTTAAAATATGGTGTTGGACCACCCAGCCTAGGCCCAGAAGCCTGGTTCTTTTGGTACATACTCCATAT